GGGGGCCCTCCGGCACAGCCTGCCACAGGCTCTCAGCCCCGCTCACCCCCATCCTGGGGCGCAACGCCCCGTGCCTGGCTGCAGGCACGGGCTGATTTTATCTCAGGTATCTTCAGCCTCTGCCGGGCAGAGATTTGCGGTTTCAGGGAGGGTTAGTGCTGGGGCTTGGGGCGGCAGAGGGCTGATAAGCTGAAAGAGGGAAACAAATGAACGACGGCAGCGCAGCAGGGCTGGCCAGAGCTGCAGGGCCTCGGAGTCCTGCCTTCGTCTCCTCCCCTGTGCTGCCCGCCTCCAGCTGCACCCCATGCCTGCCGTGGGGAACGGCCCCGGGAGCGGTGGCTGCCTCTGCCCTGCTCGGCCGCCGGCTCACCCTCTGCCCTGGGTCGGTCCCAGCCGTGTCCTCGTCGGTACTGGGCACTTGCCCCCAGAGGGGCTGCCCACACTGCGCCCGCCTCTGGGTGCCCACAGCTGCCCGCCCCCCCGAGCCGATGTCCAGAGGCAGATGAGGGACTCGAGTGGGGGGAATGGGGAAGCAGCCACCCCTGAGCACCTGGCACGTGTGGCAGTCCCAGGCAGGGGACAGGGCAGAGCAGCTCGCGCAGCCACAGGCAAGGTGCTCAGCCGGACCCAAGCACCCTGTGCCCCATCCTACCTCACCTCCATCCCTACCTCGCCTCCGTGCCTGGTGCGTCTGGCTGCTGCTCACCGCCTGCTCCAAGCGCCGGCCTCCAGCTCCCAGCGGCTCGCCGTGCTCAGCCCGTTTGCTAACATGCTGCTTTCACCGTTAGTTCCTCAAAACCAGTGCCGTTAATTGCTATGACTCTCTGAAGAAGGTGATTGCAAAACACTTCCCTGAAGGCTGCGACTGGCTCGCTCGCCGCAGGAAGGAAAGCCCAGCGGCACGCACACATCCAGCGGTGGGGAGCAGCACCCGGTCTCCCACCCTGTCCACTCCAGCAGCCGGGACGTGGCGCAGTTGAGATGTGGCACAGCCAGCTCCTTGCTGCGACTGCCCTGGGGCCACGGGACTGGGCTGGGGGACACAGCAGGGGAACATTGGCTGGGGGACAGGGCAGGGGGGACATAGGCTGGGGGACGTGGGACTCGGAGGGGGGGAGGCAAACCCAGCCGTGGCTGCCCGGGCAGTGCGGGGCCCCCCGGGGCCCGAACCC